TCTCTCCCTCTCTCTCTCTCTTCCCTCTCTCTTTCACTTTCCCTCCCTCTCTCTTTATTCCCCCCTTCTCTTGCTCTCGCTCTCCCTCTCCTTCTCTCTCTATCTCTCTTTCTCCTTCTGTGTCCCTTTTTCTTTCCCTTTTATTATCCTTCTTACTCACCTCTCTCTCTCTCTCTCTCTCTCTCTCTCTCTCTCTCTCTCTCTCTCTCTCTCTCTCCCTTCCCCCTCTTTCTCCCCACTTTAGGTCTTTCCCCCAACCCCTCCCCCCTCCTTTTTTAAAGCATACATAATGGACACATTTTTTGACGAACAATGTGGAAAAATCTACGAGCATAAACATCAAAGCCCGCACCATTAAGCCGGCAGGTTCCTGAATATTTCATTGTCCCAGTGGTCAGGTCTGCGTGGTCTCACAGCTCCCAGCTCATAACACCGTCGGCGACTTTCGTCATATCTGGGCACAGCTACATGGGGCACCAGAGGATATGGTCTCCCATTATGACAAATATCCGACCCACTTCCCCGCCTTCGCAGCTGCTTTTTTTTTTTAATGGACCAGTTGTTGGCTTGGGCTCTATTCATCAGGGTTAACCAACCAGACGCAAGGGACTCGCTGTATCAGCGTTTGTGTGTTAGTAAATTGTGAAACATCGTGGTGAAATCAGGTGTTTTTCAAAATAATGAAAACGAAAAAAACCCACAATACAACAACAATAACATTTTTCCTTCACTTTGACAATTTGTATCGAATTTTTGTTTTTTGGCTCAAGACCTTTTATGATCATATAAAAACATTATTTCCATGTGGATTTAACTGAAAAACGTTGATTTAAGTCACATAATGAGTATTTTTTCATTTTTCTGGCACTCTCAAGCCATTGAAGTTATAAAACTTTGGCGGCTATTTTCTCACTAATTTTACCACTGATACCAGGCGACCCCACCTCCTTCAATCGAAAACATCTCGACTTATATTCAAGATAATTGGGTATTTTTCATTGAAAGCAAAGCAAATGAATAAGCTTTTAGATCATACTAATAACTCCACATGGCCAAAAATTAACGAGCGCATGATTCCACTGCGTTGTGATACAATTTTTTGTTTGTTTTGGGAAGTGGACCTGATAACTCTGCGCAAAGACATTATACCAGTTGAAATTGTTCATGAAGGTCATAGTTATCCAGTAGAAAAGTGATTGTCTTAGACAGAGTTATCAGAATATAGAAAAAGCTGTGGGAGAGAAATGGAAAGTGGTCGTTTTGTAAAGGTGAATGTCTTGAACAGGTGGTCATTAGAGTAGGTTCTTATATATTTAAGAAACATTGGTTTATGTATTTATGTATGTTTGTTTTGTTTTTTTAGTTTGTTGTAGCTTTTTTGTGTGGATTATAGTTTTTACCCCCAAAGAAGGTGTGTGTGTTGGGGGGGGGGGTTAATATAAGTCGTGCTTCTTAACTTTCCAAACCCAGGTTGCAGCGGGAAGCAAAATACCAGCAGAAAACTGGCAGAACTGCTCCTTAAAATTAGACTTTCTCTCTCAAGAACCCAACTTGCGTCTTTTGCTTTTGCGTGCAACGGCGAAGCGGTATGGAACAATTTACTCCTCACTTCTCACCTACATTGCGTTGCCTCAGAACTATTTTGTCCGAAGTGCACTCTATCTATAGTTAGGGCACTACGGACAAAATCATAGTTCTGATGTGACGATTGGTATAATGCGAACTATATACTCGTTCTCTAGACTGAATTTGACTTCGTTTCGCAATAACAGGCTTTGTTCAGCAAATCCTTCTTCTGAATGTGAAGGCCTCCACGGCAAAACGCACTAAATCTATTTAACACAAGACTGGGGAAAATGAGAGAGTTGGGGGGGGGGGATCCTATTCTTTAAAAAACAAAAGAAAGAACGAAATGCAGTTTTATTGTACTTAATATATCGAGGAATATAGTGCATTTTTGAGAAGGAAAAAAGGTATTCTAACGAAATTTCTCATTATGAGATTGTGGAGTGGACGAGGATTTCCGGAACAGCGTAGATTTGGCGTACAGTGCGTTTTGAAATGGGGCGCTTCGTGTATAATTATGTTGTAGTTTCCTGGGAACCCGCGGAAATAGAAGAATACATGCATGCAAGACGGAGGTGGATACCATGGGGCGGAATCAAAGAGATGACGACGGAGAGACAGTAGCGGATGCACAATGGAAATTAATCATGAAAGATTGATTACCTCCCTGATTCCTGCCTCTCCCCATCTAAATAATTCGTTGGAGGCCAGCCCACCGATATTTTGACCATCAAAGGACTGCATCTGCCTTGCAAGGCATTTAGTACACATTAGGCCGTTCTTGGGCGCAGGTCCAGGAGACTTTTCTCTGACTAGCGGATCAATCAGCCGTTATTTTGTGCGTCCCTCGGGGATGAGTGGACAGTGGTGGGGAAGAGGAGGCGGCGGCGGGGCGCGGGTGCGCGCGCGCAATCGATGGGTGAGTGGACAGTGGAGTGTGTGGAGGGTACATTGCGCGGCGGCAGGTTTTCACAGCGTGCAGGGTGAGGC